ATATTTCAAAGTATCAAGACTGACACACAATCAATCTTATTACTTAAATTACAATAAAATATAAAAAAAAACTTGCGACCTTTCGATTTAAATAGAAAATAAGTAATTTGTGTTCAACTAAAATACGAAATACGGTACAAAATACACCTGTATTGCAAATACTGTGTTTTAAATAAAAGTATTTCAATTATACATGCATAGCTCTGTCTGTATATAATTATGACTATAAACATATATTTATACTACAAAAATTTTTATTTTTCACCTTTCACCTTTTAATCCCTGGGATTTTTAATTGTATATCATGCAACTTGATGAAAATTACAGAATAAACAAATTCACACAAGTGTAATAAAATTACAAATATTTTAATAATTAAATTAACAAATGTAAGGCTCTCTAAAGAATTTAAATTCAATTTTAAATATTATGGCTCTTCCCCATTCAGCACACAATATTAAAAGAAAACATTTATTTAATACAACATTCGTGTCTCCTCTCGGAAGGTAATGGCAACCCACTGAGAGTATCTTTGTCAAGAGAACTTCTCTAACAAAAATTTCGTCGTTCGGAATCGACGTGAACTGTAGGTCCCATATGACTGTGTACAACCAGTGTACGCACCACAGGTATATAAGAGAGGTATATAAGTCACCACGCTTAGTCACGAGCTACAGGACTGAGGACAGAGAAAGAGAGAGAGAGAGAGAGAGAGAGAGAGAGTATTAAACAAAAATTGAAAATGAAACACAATAAGCTAATTACATCGATTGTCACATAAAATTAACTGAATGCATTTTAATTTTTCTCTTCGTATGTGAATTAATAAAAATTGCGAGTCTCATAATATGTGTAGACCTTCTATCTCAAGAATATATGGCTCCTTATTGTTTTAACGATTTATGACGAAGACGTTTCACATAATCTACATATATTATGGATCAACTAACTCAAGGATTGAGTATATAGAGTAATACATGGACATAATATTCGATACATAAGTACTGTGATTGTATGAAGAGCCATATATGTGTTCGTAAAATAAAAGGTCTATACGACATTATGAAACTTGCAATTTTCGTTAATTTACGTGCAAAGAAAAATTAAAGTGAACTTAGTTAATTTTATGTATCAATATAATCAGCCCATATTTTAATTTCTGTTCACATTGTTAAAAATAAAATTTTGAAACATGCAAAAATCTTAAAATTAACATTTTTGTGTTAATTTTAACATTTTTGCTTGTCTCAGAAAATCCACTAAATTAAATTCTTTTTAAATAGTCTTTAAATTAAAGTTTTAATAAAATTAACAAAATTTTATTTTTAACAGTGTAACATATCTATCATTGAGGATGATCATATTAAAGGTTCCAAACGTTTAAGAATTTAATTATTTATTTATTTCTAATGTCATAATTCACATATGACATCTATAAACGAGGCTCGAATAACCCTAATATTTTAATAAAAATATTTTAGTAAAATAAATTCGCTCATTTTTGTAATTTTTATCAAATTGTGTAATACAATATTCTAACTCCGTTTGTTTTTTTACGATAAATCACACTCCTTGAATTTAACGTAAAATACATGTTTAATGCCTGCAGGGAAAAGAAGAAAATTAAATATAGAAAGCGCAATTAGATCAACGGTTACTATATTCAATAAAATGAAATCGAGAATGGCGTATAGTAAAAATTATTTATGAATATCAAAAGTGTTTAAAAAATGCCGAATTATCGAAGACTGCGCAATTGATCCAATTAATTAATAAAACGAATATTATTTGCATGTACCTGGTATTAATCAAGCACTTGTTCCTTTGTCTCGATACGCTTCAAAAAATAAATATGAAAGACACGATTTCAATGGACTCTACCAGACCTATGTATATACCGAGAAATCGCCGATTCAGAGATCGCGATATCAAAGCGATTGTTGTCGTGGTGTTCAATGGGTCTCGACGAATGCCCGATATTTTACGAGAAACTCTCGACTTGTTTTCGCGCGCGACGTTTGCTTTCAAATAAATGGCAAACGATCGTGAAAAATACGAAGCGACCCGAACTCAACCTCACGATTCGCCGCGATGCGTTCTGGTTACTGTAGATTCAAGTTCGAGAATCGTAAGAATTCATGCGAGATAGCAGCCAACTTCAACACGATCATAATTATTTAATGCGTGGGTCGAGGCAAAGGTCGGAAACATTTACACGTAATTTATAGAATATATATAGAATTTGTACGTACACACACAATTATTTATGTAAGAAAAAACAAGGGCTAATGAGAGTAAAAATAATGTAAAAACTTGTACTTCGTTAATTCAAGAAGAAAATATTATAACATTGTTTTTTTTTGCGCATCCTCAAACTGTACTGTACTCTCATTAGCCTCTCGTTCTTCTTTATATTTTTAATGTGAAAGTCTGTAAGTGCAATTATTTGGAAATGGTACAATTAGGATAAAAGGCTCAATTACTGACAGAGTCCCAAATACTAGCAATCTGATTTTAAACGCTTTTTGGAATGTATAAATTATATTGTTAGTAATTGTATTTAATTTTACTTAAATTTTGAAAATGTGTCTATTTATAAATGAAATTAAATACATTTACGTATAATTTATATATTCGAAAAGTCAGATTGCCAGTATTTGGGACACTGTTGTGTGTGTTTTGGTGTTTTATTATCTTATTGGTAAAATATTATAGATATATAGTAATCGAAATGATGAGCTGCAATCGATGTCTGATTTTTGACGTTAAAACAATGTCAAAACACCAGAAACATCTAGCGATTGACTCTATATTTTGAAATAAGGTGAAAATTGCGAAAGTTCGAGCGAGAGAGAATTTAGAATATTTATAATTTCATTAATCAACACTCAGTAAAATTTATTCACTTCTGTAATTTTCACCTCGTTTCAAAATACAGACTCGATCCTCAGCATGGTAATTGCAAACTCTCCCCATGTCTCTCTTGTTATCGTCCATTTAGCACTATTTAGCTCACTGCTTTCTACTTTGGCCGTGGTGTTTCTAGGAGGGCGTTAGTGCACGGTGAAATTGCGAGCTACACAATCTTCCGCAAGACCGACCTTTTCATCAAGAGCGCCATCATTGTCGGATAATTTTGAGTCTGTTGAACAATTATAACAATTAACTTCGAGATGGATAATAATGATTTTATTGGAAATTTCGGGAAGTTTGTTGATCGATACGTTGGTAATCGCTTTAGCAATCTTTTTTTTTCGTAAATAAAATGCTTTGGCACTATAAATTTTATAAAATTAAAAAAAAGATTATCGCTTTGTTCACTTAACTTTTTTTCAGTTACTTTCATATTTTTATAAAATTTTAAGTTTAATGTAAATGCTTAATACTGTTTTCTCATCAATATCGATTAACTTTAATCTTGATTCAACCTACTTTTATCTTTTTCTAGAAATAGGAGATACGAATTCTTCTAAGATTTTGATTCCAATTCTTAGAACTAATAAAAATGAAACATAAAAATGAATTGTGAGATTAAAGTTATAATTAGCTCGGTCACTTGTATTTAATTAAGATTAATACACATTAAAAGCTGCTACATGAAATTATAGCAAACAATAAATATGAAAACACAAATATTTTGAATAATTAAATGTCTAATATATAATTAGATATAATATTTTCATATAATATATAAGAAAATTCTTTCAAAATCAATAATAAGTAAAAAAGCATAAAATTCAGACACGGAAATGAAACCGTTAAAACTATTTAAAATACTTTAATTAGATTCACACACATACTTACATTAATCTCTAATCTAAAAATTAATCTATGTATTATAAATAATTTTTAACGATTTCTGTAATTATAGTCTGACTCCTATGCTTTTTACTTTTTATTAATGATATTGCAACATTATTCAACAGAATGTATATATTAACTTTAATCTCGATTTAATGTACTCTTTATCTTTTTTTAATTCTTAGAACTAAAAGATTAAAAATAAGTTTAAATAAAACCGATTAAGTTAATTTATTATATATTAGCAGAAATAAACATAACCGATCAGAAATATGTAATTTACATGCAGTCTCTAGCGAAATCAACGTAATGGATGACAACGTCGATCTCGAGAATGAATTCCGTCAGACTGAGAAAGAAATCAATTGTTGTAAGCCAATGTTGCAAAGCTATCGCAACGAGTACGAGAATATAGAAACGGAAATTTGCTACGTGAGGCAATTGCAGCGAAAAGCGCAGTTTGTGTTGGAGAATGTGCGATTGGAGGAGGAGGATCTTTGCGAGCGTTTCAAGAACATACATCTCAACTACGAAGCATGCAAAGAGAAATCAGGCTACGAGGATCCGAATGAAATGATTCCCATGAAGATAAACGAACTGACGACGCAGAAGAAGAACCTGCTGGAAGAACTGGTACAATTGAGAAAAAAAGCAGATAATAATACAAAGAAGCTCACCCGTGTAAAGGCCATGATCGCGGAACAAGAAGTAATTGATTTCAACACTTACCCACTTAAAATGTACTTGCTATTATTACAAAAAACTTTCTTTGTTTTTCCTCGTAGGAAAAGAACATGATACAGATTCAAGAATTAAAGGAGATATCCGAGAACAGTGTATCCATTTCGCCAGATATAAAAAAACAGATAGACATTATTTTAAAAAGTCAAGAAATGAATGAAAGCGATGGCTATTAATAATACGGTTCTCTCTCTATTAATAATAAGTTATTAATAATAAAGTTTTTCTATAAATATAAACTATTTGTACATTAGATACAAAAATATTTAAAATACTATAAATGTGTCGACATAAATTTGGTATATATATATATATATAAATATATATGTATATATATAATTAATATACCTAATAAATACATTTTTCATTATCGTTTTATTTAATAGAAATATTTTTAACAGAGCTTATTATTTTTAATAAAAAATATACCATATATACACGTTATATACAGTGTGCTTCCAAAATCGCAAAGCTATTCATTTTCAATCGTTTCAAGACAAGTTGCCAGCTGTTTACACGTTTTCTCTAATCGTTGCAGTATGTTTGGCGCGCAATTCAGAATTCTCATCACGTTGTCGTTCGTGGCACGTATTCTCGATCTACTCTCTGCGATTGTCCTCATTAGGGTTTCGTTCTCCCTTTCCATCTCGTTCACCTGTTCCTCCAATTCCTCGGTCGCCTCTTTGATCTTGTGCGCGTCCAACGATCTCAAATGCGAGGTTACATCTCCCGGTGGACGCCTGCAATCAGACGATGACTCTCAAATAAGAGATTACACTGAGCAATCACGAAACGATTTTCTAACGAACCTATCACCTACCACGCGTGTTCGTTAGCGGACGTGTTTTCCTCGGACAATTTGGTTATTTTAGTGAAGGCTTCCTGCAAACTGCCTTCCTTTAATATATCCTCCAGATCATTGTTCATGCTGCTGTACAGCTCCTTTATCATAGCCTTGTGCAGCTTTCGGGCGATGTTGGGATTTGACTTGAGAATCGTGAGTGCCTCGAGAAATTCATTCTCACTGAAACGAAAAACATAATAAAGTTATTTATTATTAACTCTTAATATTTAAATCCTTTTATTATCAACTCTTCGACTCTATTAATTTATTATTACCCTCCGTCTGTGACTATATTTTTACTTTTCATCTGAAATCTCGATCTTTGTGTCCAGTTCTAATTTTTTTTATAGAGTTAAGCTTATAAAAAATGTGAAAAAAATGTTAAATTCTTTTTCAACATGTCTGTTACATTTTTAAATAATTTTTAAGTTAAACGTTAAAAAATTTATTCAATAAAATTTCAGCCAAAATTAAAAAAAAAATGAAAATTTGTTGAAAAATGTGTAACGTAGCAATAAAGAAGCTGGACTACAATCTTCTTTATGTCAGAAAAAGTTGAGAGTGAAATTTTGCTTCTACCAAACAAAAAGACCCAGACTGTAAACAGAAAGTGCAAATAAATATTGCGTCTCAAATCAGTAGCTCGTAAACGTATAATAATAGTTATCATGTTTCGAAATAAACACGACCTTATCTGAGATTAACGACATCCGGAAACATAATACTGCGCGCACTGCTGCGTGGCAATTCGAATTATTCGCTCTATCTTGTTTCACAGAAAAGGCGTCTTATCGACCTGGACGATATACGCGTGGCTTACACTTACGATACATGTATGAGAAAGACACGTGCTTTTACTCCGACGACTTTCCAACGACCGGATGCGCGTTCCCCCGTGTATGATGCATGGTTAGTACAGCCGGTCACAGAAAGGTTGCAACACTTTTTTTCCCAATGAATTTCGAACTCAGCCTTGCTCATAGAACGATTGAACGTAAAGTTAGATCCATAAGATAAGAACCAATCACTCGGTGAGCAAGCTGCAGTCCAAAACCCATCGAAAGAAAAGTGTTGCAACTTTTCTGTGACCGGCTGTACATGACGACTATCGCTGGGGATCAAATTTTTTTTTCTTTGTCCCGACGCGACGCCAGACAAAGAGCAGCGGCATCTTCAATCACAGGGGACGGAATTCTGGACAGTTCTAATCAACTTTTTGCCGTGTTACAATAAGCATACAATAGTAAGATCCCATCTCCTTACTCAGCTTCCGCGACGTTTTAAAAATATGGAGGGTATTATTGAGAGTTTATTTCGAAACTCGCATAACATTCCGTATACCATGCTATCTACATAAAATGTCACACTAAATTAGGCTTACCTGGAATCTTCGTTCTACATAGTGAGAGCGGCTACGTTGTTTCTCGCGTACTCAATCAGGCCGGGACTGGTGCAATTTGAAATCAATGCTACATATTTGCAATAGTCCAGACCTAACTAAGCACGCTTCCGATAGTCCAGGAACACTGTTGAATCCTTAATGTTAAATTATACCTAATTTGAGTTACTTTTAGTCATTTCTGTAAGTCTCGTTACTATTTCTATATTCAATATGTCGTTAATTTAACTGAAACGATTTAACTTATAAATGTATTAAATTCGATTCCAATTTAATTTATTATAATATTAGGTAAAAATTTAATTTGTTATTTACTAACATAAGTCAGGGCTATATGAAATACTTTTATTAAAATATAGTTTTTGCAATAAAAATGTATTTTATATTTTGTATTTTATGGTGCACATATAAGTATTACGTCTTTTATATTTAAAATTGAAAGGTTGAAAGTTTCATGTATTTCGTAATTAAAATAATAAAATTAATTGTCAAGCTTAGTATTCGAGATACAAAATACTTTGATATATTCCCATGAAATACAAAATACAAAACACATTTTCATGCGCTTCACTAAAATACAAAATACAAGATACAATTATCTTACAAATAAAAGTATTTCAAATACATGCCAGTTGACATAAATGCATACGTTTATATGAACGTTTATTTTAAAGCTACACAATTAAACCACAGAAATGGAACGATATATATTTTGACATTTTTAACACACATGAAGTTAAAAATAACAAAATATTATTTAACTCAAGATGGGTTCTTTAGATAACTAGCAGTGAGAGACAGAGATCCACTCGCTCGTCTAAACTTACTGACTCACTCGCATTGTCCTTTAAATCACGCACACAGAATCGAACTAACGACCGACATATGAAATTAAATTTTGTATACAAGAAATCTCTCTCAACAATTTTGTAGCATTTAACGTTGAAACTTTTAAAAGTAACAAGGTCTACCGAAGACGAATGTACAGTATGCGGCGGCGCTTGAGTAATGAAAGAATCAACTGCCTCTGACTGCGAGAAAGTACGGAGCACGCACTCGTGCGTGCATGCACGATTCCCGCGGCACGCAGCACACGAATGATCATCGCCCCCGCGCCGGTCACCGTGGCAGGAGGCCTTTGTTTCCCCGAACGCTTCGTGGAATTCCTCGAAGGTCAACTGGTGGAGAGCCGTGTGCGAAGGAGGCCTTCCTGGAAACGACGCCGAAAGGGATCGCCGAGCCGTTTCAGCAGCTCGAGAACTCCGGCGACGATTATGACTCGAATGTCTCGAATTCGACGTGAACATACGATGGCCACGTAAACGGCCACGGCGAGTCAGGAATTAACATGCGAACCGCGGAGGCCAATGACATCGAGTAACACCGACTGGCGTTTAGGTCATTGACGACGCCGATCCCTTCCACGCGTACATACACCATCATCTTGATCTTTCCGTCTTGACTGCCCGCCTCGCTACATCAATAAATCACGAATCGGCTTCTTCGTAAACAACGGTTCCCTACACGTAGAGGACAGTGTCCCGGCACGACGGTCTTTGTACTTATTTATCTAAAACATAATTTCGCGGATTTTAAATAGGTATATACCGATATAAAAATGATTTTCTTTCAGCGCGATTTTAATTACACATCTGTTTTCTTTATAGCTGCATTTTTTCTTTTTTTCTCCAACGTGGAAAGAATAAAATAAACCATGCAGGAAGTTGAATGAAACATACGGGGAATAAAATATCTCTAAAATAAAAATCTAAAATTACGAAATTCCCCTTGCATGTGCACTGTGATTCAAATATCATACAGAAATTTTATAGAACAAAAGAAATTAGAGATATTATTTTTGCATTTTTTAAATTTATACTGAGAAATAAGATTAAAATTGCAGAATCTAAAATTCTGAAAACTGTAAACGTTGGATCGTGACGTTTGGATCCAAGAGATTCTCTTCTCGACCACGTGACGCACTTGACACACTTTCGGTAGCGGTACTGTTATTGCGTGGGCATGTATGAATCGCGTTTTTTGCATAGCCAGACATTGAAATTAAAAAGACGTAGAGACGGGGTCTTTTCACAGCTGAGTGAAAAAAAACAGAAACTGATATAACAATAAACCAAGAGAAAAAAGATTTCATAGAAAGGAGATCCTTTCTATAAAAATCCTTTTCTGCCCATTTTCTACCAAAGCAGATTTAATTGCAATCTCAGTTCAACTAATTAATCGTCTTTTTTTCTAGTTCTAAGAATTTATAGAAAAATAAAGCTTTGTAGGTAGAATAACGAGATTAAAGTTAATTGTTCCAAAAATTTTATAGAAAGATGCAAACTAACGATAAGTTGAACAATGAGATTATAAAGTCAATTTGACAGAAACGGGCATCACACAAATAAAAGGCTTCTAATGAAATTAAGATTACCAGAAGTAGCGAGAACGTACCTTCTCCTTGCTCCAGCTTACCAGTTTTTAGCGGGAAGAAAATACGCGCGGATGGCAACGCACAGGAGGTTAAGTCAAGCGCGCGAAGTTGCGCGCGAAACCGAGAGAAAATGCGCGCGTCCGACTGCAGCAGATCAACTCAACCACAACGTCACTCACCTGACAGACTCGGCTATGTTTTTCAAGCTGTTGGAGACGGCGATTTGGAACAGCCGCGCGTTGTTCGGACAATATACTTCCTCGTCCTCCGCCATTTCCCGGCGATTCTTCTTGTTTGCGCGGGAAAGGCGAGCTATCGAAACAATGGTCAACAACACCCCAAAACAACACAGTTTCTTCGCCCGTCCAGACGCCCAAACCAAACCAAACCGTCGCTATCCTCCTAGCGTCACAACAATAAGATTTGAATTGTTCACCGCTCGGTAACTGTGCGTCATCGCGTCGTCAAGTTTTGAAAGTTTTATCTGATGGTAACTGAGGAACAAATAAGATGGTAATTGACATTATCAACTGATATCAAGTACGATATCAGCTGATAATACTAATTTCCTAAATTTATAATTTATTAATTTCATAGACATATATTAATTTGTTCGGAAAGTTTGTTTCTATTACAAAATTGTATATACAACATTGTTATATCTGTTCATTCATTGGTTAAAATTGAATTACCCTACGAGCTAGTTATTTTTCTGTAATAGCGACGCTGTCGTGCTGGTAGAGTCAGTTCCTTCTCTATGTTTATTTTTTTAAAAATACAATTGTATTCTAGGTATCGATCATGAAACTTTTTCCTTCGGATGAAAAGTGAAAAGTGAAAAATTTCTCCATTAACTTCAATAATAAAAATTTACACTTTTTACTTTTCATTCTAGGGAAAAAGTTTCATAATCGATATCCAGATACCTATATTACATTTAAACAATGTGACTCGTCTTCTATTGGTTAACTTCCAAAACATTAATTGTCTATCTTCGTAAAAAATGAACGAAATTTAAATTAAAAAAAAAAGGTTTTAATGGGGAGGAGGTTAAAAATGTATTTGGAATTCTTTCAGCAATATTTCGTGTATTGAGAGAAGTAATGCTATTACAGCCAGAAAAAGCTACTCTTATTGTCATGGCTGCAATACATCTCTATAATTTCTTACGAAGAAACAAAAAATCATTAAATACTTATTCACTTCCAAGAAAAATACAGATCATAAAATGAATATGCAATTAACATTAGAATCTTCGAGTAGTACCGAGAATAGAAGTGCTCCGGAAAAATCTTCAAGAGAAGCAAAACAGAAATAAGAAAAGAGTTAGCAGATTATTTTATAAATGAAGGATAAGTTTATTGGCAAAATGATTACGCATAAGAATAGTTACCTGATTTTTCATTTCTATAATATAAAATATCTTTCTACAATATACTTAAATTATTATATATGGAATTTTTCTTTTACATTTAAAGAATAAATTGTATTTAATGTGTACTCATTGTTATATTTAATTGTATTTACTGTTACACATGAAAAATATAGAAAGAAATAACAGTTATATAAAAGCATAACAGTTAAGATAATAACAGTTACATAAAAACATGCGCCTCTAAATAAAAATGTATATCATATTTTCTATTTACAGTATCTTTATAGTTTCTAATGGTTTGTCTTTATCATTCAAAAATTGCAGTCGCTCAAACGCAAACTATTAACTATATATAGGAGACCCCACCCACCTCCAATTTTGATAAAAATATACCCAATCGATGTGTTTTTGCACGAAATAAAGGAATCTGGCAGAAAAAAGTGTCGCTCTGCTCCGCGAACCGAGATATTAAGCATTTAAAATTGATGACTATTCAGATTAGAAAATCTCTGTCGATTTTCTAAATCAATAGACTTGCTCTAATCTGAGTTGAATTAATGAGGTTTCGTACTCTCCTGTTCTATTGGTAGAGCGTGTAAAGTCCACCAATATAGCAAAGTACTTTCTAATCCAGGTTGATGCAAACTCGGTCTGGCCGAAAACACGTACTATATAGTGTAACTGCAGTGTAAAGAATTTAATTGTGTTTGCATCGTGTTCTTTTCAGCATTTTCTATAGTCCATATTCAGAACGCGTTTTTATTGATAAAAGCGCGCTTTTATCTTTCAAATTCTATAGTATGCGTAACGTAAACTATAACATGTTAGAGCGCTAACATTGTTGTAAGCGCATTCTGAATACGGGGGTATATATGTTTTCTGTATATCAAGCATATTTTTTCTGCATTATATGCATATATTCTGCGCATAAAATGCACATCTTCTAGCACGTATAATACCCATTCCTGGTCGTCCATTATAACGGAGCCAGCGTAACTAAAACATATGTATATTACAAAAAACACTTTATCAAAGTTATCAATTTTAACTCGAGTCGACACATCGTGTCATAAATATAAAACATCCAATAAATATCTTGGAACCTAGTATAAAAACATAATAATGCAAGGGGATACTTTTACGTTTATATAATCATTTACTCTTTGATAATACATAAAATAAAAATTCCACTAGAATAAAACAATCTAATCTAGATCATCTCTCTGTTTATTTTGTCGCTCAATATTTGTTTATATATATACTTTATTCTTGAATATAAGCACTTCACAGTGTAATTCTCGTAAAGTTTTTAAAGGATCTGCACGAACTACTTTCCAAATTTTTATAAAAAATTTTTAACACGTTAGTGTCTCGTGCGGCAAATATTAATTCGAATTACTATCCGATAACCTGAAAGATAAAACAATGTCTCGAACAATGTCGAAAACGCTGCAGTCAGCACTAGCACCATTATTTATCATTAGTTCGTTCTGCTGTTTGGTCTTGTTTGAATATCCTCTTGGTCAACCTAGACCGTATTTCTTTTGTCTGTATGGCTTAGTCGTATGGAGCGATATTGTATATGACATGTATCCGGCATACATCTATAAATTGTACCATATGGAGATACGTATTTCGGATATCACTGATTTGACTGTCATTTTATCGATTCTTATCAGTTTATATCGTTATAAGGTAAAATTTCTAAAATATTTTTGCCAAATATTACTTATTGATTTTTTAATATTTCTTAACTTTTGTTTAAATGTATTATATTATAATATAATTAATTGAAAGTGTATTGTTTAAATGTATATTGTATTACAATATAATTAAGCCGCACGACCTAATTAGCTTTAACGCACGTAAACGTAATCAGACGGCCTAAAGGCGTAAGGTGTATTAAGAAAGAACGTTTATTTTGTTCAATAGATAGTACTCTCATGAGACTAAATGTGACGTACATTAGGCCCAAAAATATTATAGGTCTATATGGGGTATATGCCCTGTTTGAGACCTCTCTTAGGTGGGGTAAAGGTCAAGGTATAGGTCAGGTCGTTGGGTGTAAATTAGGCCTATATTACGTTCCTAAAAATTAGTTAATAAAATATTATTAATAATTTATTTATTTTTTATATTTAAGATATTATAATATCATTTTAATAATCCTTCATCTATCATATATCTTTTATACACATTAAAATAATAATTTTTATTCAAGTATGAAATTATGATTCTCTTTCTATTTTATGTCGCATAATCAATCAGTGTAATTTTTTAAAGGAATTGAAGATATGTTTGCGTGAACTCAACGTAGTAAATGACACATTAGAAGCACTCGGTGCTCCAAATGAATATCAACGGCTGCGTAACTTGATAATTCGAATAATAATCGGATGTATTGTATATGTTTTTTCTGATACAATAATTGGCCTTTGTATGTATCGTACTTTCCACATTAAAAGAAATTTAACTGTTAGAGACGTCCGTCAATTCCTTAAAGGAGGTTATAAAATATATGTAAATATCTCAAGTGCGCTGATTTGTGGAACTGTTCTTGGGTTGGTACAAGTGCAAATATACTTATACTTACAATTTACAATTATAGTAAGCTATTCATTATTGGCATTGTGACACAAAATGTTCACAGAGTGAACATTTAAAGATCTTTTTAATGTTATTTAAATATTAATTTTAATGTTTTATATAATTTTAAATAATATTTTATTTGTATATGTATTGCAACTGTAAAGATAATACATTATAAGATAATCTAAATGGAAAAATAATAAAAATTCGTTCTGTTATGAATGACAAATATATGTAAAATGTGAAGAAACATATAAAGCAAATAACAAAATTTTAATGAATTTGACATTGATAATTTATTTAATACAAAATACACGTATACAATGTATAATATAATGCACGTATTTCAATTTTACTGAAAGGCATAACTAATTCTCTTTTATTAATTCAGATACATATGCTCTAGATTTCATCAAGTCAATGTACGTTTACTTGTACTTTATACCGATTTTTTCGAAAATAATGCAGATTACAGATGTAGAAAACAAAACAAATCCATTTTAGTCCAGCAACATATAACAGGAGCTGAGTATCGCAAGCAGTCTACATGGATTATGATGTAATTTTTTATAAGAATTACTGTGTACACAAATGCGCATACATACATATATGTATGCATACAGGGATTTTTATTTTAAATTTCGTAATATTTAGAAAAGTACAAATAATTAAAAGATGCATACATACATATATGTATGCATACAGGGATTTTTATTTTAAATTTCGTAATATTTAGAAAAGTACAAATAATTAAAAGATGTTTTTGAGCATGCAACTATTCGAGGGGGGAGATGTATTTTGGTCACATTTTGTAGATAGAAGCGCCAAAAAAGCGCTTTCATTTGTTTTAAAGAAATTATGTGACACTATAAAAGGCCATCACACGTACAAAAATTTTAATAGTATAATCGTAAGGTCTTAAGCAAATCGGCCAATCACAGTTTAACGTATTAAAATGTGAGATCGTAATTTTGATTGTGATTGGTCGATTTGTTTAAGACCTTACGATTACTACTAAAATTTTCGTACGTGTGATGGCCTTTAACAATGTTTTCTCCAACCTATTCTGCATATAGAAGTATTATATTAAACTCTGTAACATTAAAAAGTAAGACAAAGTTTATAAAACCAATAACAAGTTATTTTATAGTAGTATTAGTTTAGAGTTACTTTATTATGGCACACATATTGACATAAAACGTAAACTATTAATTTTTTAATGTTTTTATCTTAATTTTTATGTGCAGAATAATTACAAAAATAATATATTTTGAAAAAAATATAATTACATTTAAAAAAGTGTTAGTAACTTTCACATTATATTACCTAGAAGAAAAAAACGACGTAACTAACATACGTCTTCGTCAAAA